CACCCCTCCTCAGGTAAAAGGCAGCCTGGCCCTTCATGTCACCTCCAGCTACTGGAAAGCTGCCTTTTTCTCTCCTTTGGCTCCTGGAAGCTAAGAACCACGGCAGAACATTTCAGCAACTGCTGGTTTTTGCAGTCTCAAGCCCTACGAGGAAGCGATGACAGCGATGCCTCTGTGCCTCTACGCGGTCAGAGCAAACCTAGGAGATCTCGAGGCAGGAAACCTTGAAATAAACCATCACAGGTTTATGTAGGTGTGCATCTGCAGCCACAAGATCGCTGTCCACATCTCCCTAAGGCATAGGAACATTCTCCTCCTCTAGTGGTAAAAAAGACTTCAAAAGAGTCAAGTCTATCCTGCTGTGTCTGTACAGAGGTAGCTCCTGCAGTGAGAAACCAGGGTGGAGTAGGACACAACAGCAGACATTGCTCATCTTATTCTTCAACATGACACATCCCCAGTGCCCTCCCTCTGCCCCGGTAAGTTCTTCTAACCACACAGACTCAAAATAATGTTATTCAAGCTGTACTCAAAAAGCATTTTCTCACTCAGCACAAAGATTTCGGGAAACATTTCTTCAGCAAATGTCATCATCCAGGACTGCTCTAACCTCAGTTTTCCAGATGTGGGATGCGTTTAAGTTTGTACCTGCAGTAAACTTGCCTGTTAGCTTGCAAGAAATGTTGACAATTATTTCTTTTCCTTTGAGGTTTCAAGTACGTGCTCTCCATCTTCCAAATGTGCTTCCTTGTCTTCCTCCTGTGCGGGCTCTCCAGAAGAAAATTAACTATGTCCATTCTTGGCCATGCAAGCTCCACTGCTGCCAACAGCCAGGTGAAGGGGGGCAATACTGGAGCCCAGGAAAAAGAGAGTTCTGCTATTTCCACAGAAACCCCCAGAAGCCAGAAAGGAGTTCTCCCACGTGTGGATTCGTTCCCTGCTTGCCTCCGCTCCCTGCGGTTTGCTGGTGAGCATGAAGGGGCCCTGGTGAATGCGCTGGGGTGCATTAGGGTTTATGAGGTGTTAGTATGTTATTTAAATGCCTAGGTGCATCTCCTCCCATTCAGTCCAGCAGAGCTGGCTCCCATCACTGCCTCCATCCCTAGGCTGTGCATGCACGTACATCAGAGCAGCTGGACGCTGTTAACAGCTCCTCCCTACCTCCAACACAGGGTGAACAGCGAGGTCCGCAGTAGCTGTACTGCGATTACGTCCAAGCAATTAAAAGCTTCGGTTCTCTCCTCCTCACTAAACCCTTCCTTTTCTCACAAGTGCCTTTGTCTAAACGTGGGCCAAGTAAAGCCTGAACTGAAAAGAGGACGGGAAATTAGATCAAACTGAGGATGCGGCGTTTTCGTCGTCCCTCACGTCAGACAAGTCAGAAGCAGTTTCATAATTGGGCCTCTAGACTCTAGGCAGTGAAGTGTTAAGAGAGAAAAGCAATCCCAGGGCTGCACGCTGGGTTCTGACAAATAGGAAAAACACAGAAGTAGGCCAAGAGCTCACCATTAACGCCAGTTTCTAATTGTACCGAGTCAAGAAAAGGCTCGCCACGTGGCACGTGGTCAGACAGGTAAGAAATCGTATAGCAAGAAACAGAAAAGTGAGGGAGGGACTTTTCCCCGTGCTCGTGTTCACACTTGTGTGTGACTTGCAAGAAGTGCACTTGGGAGTGAGCGAGCAAGAACGCCCAGGGATGAGGGCAGAGAAGCACAAGGGGAGGCAGCGGCCCATAAGCAATCGCTATGAAAAGGAATGGGGGTGGGGAATTGTGCACAGCCCTGTTTTAGCTTCTGCTGTAAAAAATAAATAGACCTTTTAATGTGTGCTCTCCGTGAAGCCTTCTCTATTGACCATTCATTTCTTCTTTCCCTTCCCAGCTCTTTACCTCCTCTATATGGCTGATGAATATGCAAATACATAATCAGTTCTATAATAGCCTGTCCTTTCTAAAAACAGGCTATAAATTTGGATCCGAAGCAGCAGGTTCCAAAGAGACTATTATACTATATGGCTGGGGGAAGAGGCGAGATCCAAACACCACCGCTAGCACACCAGAGTTCTTTATAACGCGTGTGAATGCAGCCAGGAGGCGGGCCCTTCGACTACAGAGCCAGCAGCCGGAAAGCAAAGCTTCCCTGCAAAACGTACGCCCCGATCTCATCACAGGCTCCTGCAGGGCCAGCAACAGGCAGTGCTCCCTGCAGGCCTTGGCAGGGACGCCGAGGGGACACAGACCCCCAGATGCCGGAGGGTTACAGTTTTAACTGACGGCAGCTCCCGGGATTGCGGGAGCTCTCGGGAGAGCCCAGGGTTTGACGCCGATGGGGATGTCCGGGTGTCGCACCCGGGCCAGCGCCCCGGGCCCCCCAGCGGTTGCAGAGCGGCAGCGCGGCCAGGAGGGGGCGCTGCGCCGCGGGCGCGCACACAGACAACGTGAGTCCATAGGGGCACAGGTACCTGCGTCCGGACACGGCCACCACGGGCACCCTCAGCTGCAGGGGCAACGTCCGCACCCCCAGGGAGGGCTGGCAACAAGCGCAGCCCCCCGAGCTGGTCCCTGGCAGGTTCGCACAGCTCTGGCTCTGTCGGAGCCCTGACTCCCTGCTCCCGCTGGGACAGGAGGCAGCTGTGTCACAGCGGGGACAGCAGCCATGCACCGCACATCAGCTGCTTCCCAGCTCCCACAGGATCGCCTCCCTTCTTGTGTAAATTGAGTACAAACCCTCCTGTGCAATACACTTCCACGTCTGCCATTTCAAGGCCCTCCTCAGGTTCCCCCCAGCATTCCTGTACGCTCTGACTGCAGGGCAGAACACAAGAACTGCTGGTCCAAAGTTAACGAGACGGGATTGCCACCCAGGGCCTGCCCAGCGCATCAGCTCATCGCTGCTGCTCGAGCTGCAGAGCAGCCAAGACTGGAACCCCACAGGGAGGAACCGGGTCCAAATGTGCTTTACAGCTCCCTGTGGAAAACGACTCAGGAGCAGATACAGCTCTTGAAGGTCCTGATCTGAGGAGCAAGAAGGTGCCAGCTGGAAACTGAGAGCTGGGTTTCAACACCCCCCTACCCAAGGCAGCCAGGACATCACCACTTAATGCTCAGTTAACAGGTTGCCCTATGAACTGGGGCAGCGGGAGCACTTGGCATCCTGATGGGGCACAGGGGTGGGAGGGTAGGAGCAATCCAGACAGCACCCTCAAAAAATATGGATGAGGGGATGGAAACTTGGATCTGGCTCTAACCCCGACCGTTGCACCCTGAACATGCCACAATTCTTCATTCATTGCATTATCAGCTACAGGTAGAGAATAATATTTGCATAATTCATAGGAGTCAAAAGATAAAATAGACAAGACATGCTGCAGTCATACAGATACCCAGACAAACGTGAAATGATTTTAACATACAACTCTGCAGAGGTCAGTATGTAAAAATAACCTTGGAAACTCTTAAATCCTCCAAGTCAGGTAACCACTGAACGTGGACATCACTGCACACCTCCCTTCTCTCTTTTCCCATCGCCTTCAACACAGACGCACCTCCCAAAGCAACACAAACTGCAGCATCTCAGCAAGAACGGGGATGACAGGAGGGGATGGTGTAACACCATTTATTAAAATCAGTTTATAAAACCCTAGGCCCATTTCACAGAGGTCTCATCCAACACTTGGAAGATGGGAACAGGGCTTCCCAGACAAGGTCCAAAGCCCGGAGCTGATTTTTGGTGGAGGTAACAAGATCTACGTGGCAGCCAGATCCGGTGATTCAGATCCTGTCTGAAGCCTTGGTTTCCTTTTTGTCTTTTGAAACTCTTCTGATCTCATCAACACCCCAGCAATCTGTGTGCCTACCACAAAGCAGTTTTTACCTGCACCACTGGAAGCACAGCATTTACATCCCAGACACTGATAATCCTTTCACAATTGTTTGCTTCACCTCAACCAAAAAAAACACAACCCAAAATACAGTGAGAGGAAATATTTTGATCACAAAGTAAAACAAATCATCAAACCAAGGCTAGGCTGTCATAAAACAAGACTTAGAATAGGACAAAAAACCCCAATGGGTGGGTGTACTTACGGGTAACCTCCCTCAGGTGGTGGAAAACCTTTGGGTCCAGACGCACTGACAAAACACTGCAACCAAAGCAGCATCCCCCCCCCAAGCCCAGCACCCCCAAATTTGCGATGATGAGCAGGTCCCAGGCACAGGATCTGGAGGTGAGCACCAGAAGGGGTGCTGCAGACACCGAGGTCCATCGGTGGAACAGGCACTTGCCCCCTCCTCCTGAACTTGAGGAGTTTCTCCTCCAGAGCAGTCCCCTGTCCACAACTGCACGTTCAGCTGCACGCCCTAGAGGTTGTGGATCCGAGAGGAACAGCAATATTCTCTGCAGGGCACTTTCAATTAATTAATTCCTTATTAAAGCTCTTCACATGAAGTACCATGTAAATTAAAAACTGCAAGAGAGAGGCCTGTCAGCGGCAGACACAACACAACGGGTGCAGTTCAGAAAACTTACACCTTATCAAAGGAGAATCCACAACAAACCCAAATCTCCACATGGGACTACGTGAAGACTTCATGGAAATGGAAATGTACGGATGCTTTTTCCTGTAACAGGAAGGACTGTTCAGGCTTTAGGTGATACTCTAGCTATAGGAGGTAAGTTTGGAAATACTGACTATCCTTACCCATTCTAACATGAAATACTGTCCAGATGCATCAAAAGCAGAACTGCATCTGTGCTACTTGTGTGAAGAGCAGTGACATTTTCTCCTTTCTCAGTGTTCCTGGTTGAGCTACTAAAGCACTCCTAGGAGAACACCCAGAATTTTCTATTCCCACATTTAAAATGGTAGCACAAGTTACTCTGGTAGACGGCTGCTAAAGCCTCAGCGCACTGGTGTGCTGAGAGTGCCTCCTGCTCTCTCCCCTCCTCCAGGACAGTGAAAGCCAAACAAAAACCCGTAACATCTCTGGTATTACTGCACCTTCCCTAGAGACACACAACAGAACCATGTCATACGTGTCAGCCTTTAAAAGCAAAGCCCTGATTCAAGCTATAAAAACGTTGTCCTCTTTGCAGGACAGCTTCTTCACAGTCTCATTGCCTTTGCGGTACAGGCTGAGTCGATCACACTGATTTTAAATTGTTCCTCTTAACTTTTACCCTCCACCCACAGGTCCTTGGCTTCTCTTCTCATTGGTTATTGCACCCTGGGGCTGCAGAAGAGGTGCCTGCCTGCTTCTGCTTCTTACGGCGCTTGTACAGCAGGCGGTTGTTGGATGTTTTCAAGTCCTTGATTTTCACCTGATCATAGTCCACCCTCATGGTAGCCAAAGCGCTGGTCATCTCCTCCTGAAACCAAGGAAGCAATTTATTGTGAACCCTGCGGCAGAGAGCACCCAGCCACCCCCCAGTACTGCCAGGAGACGGACACCAACACGAGCCCTCTGTTACACCACGGCTGGACCAGCTGAGCCCTTTCTGCTGCACTGCACTATGACCAAAAGCTTCGTTCTACTCACAGACTCATTCAGGAGGAACCATTCACAGCGTGTTTCCCATGTGAGCAGGCAGGACCACGCTCTGCTGGCCTAAATTCCACCATGTCCCTGTGCTCAGCGTTTCTTACTGCCTGGCTCTGGCCTTGGCCAGCTACTGAGTCTGGGCTCCTCACACCAGAGTCACAGCGCTGCTTCTCTTGCTCTGCTACCAAGCGCCGTTAGCAGGAACTAGAACAGAGAGTCCACACAAAGTGGTTGAAAAGTGTGTGTGCCAAATTCACAGGCTTCCTTAGCTTGAATTAACCTTTAAGTGCACTTTTTAATAAGGCTTTGAGCAAAAATCTGCTTAAGTAAATGAATGTCTATGCATTTAGTTCAGGAAAGAGAAAAACCATTAAATACTATGGGAATCCCAAGGGAATACCGCGAGGACCTACACAACACACAGGTGTAAGTTCTCAGAAACACGGAAATAAAGAATTCCAAGTGAAAGTGTTTGGTCTCTTTGACTTGGGAGGCTAATGTTGCTTAGCTCCTATGACATTTTACCATTACATAGTTCATCAGCTGAGACCATATATCAGCAATGTAAATAAAATCACTACTCAGTAAGGTACACCACAGGAATGTTGCAATGACCAAAATGCCAAGCACTGGAAGTACAAAAAGTTCAGAATCAGTTGTAAAACCACGCCAAGCTGGTGAAGGCCAGCAGGAAAGAGTTAAAGCTTGCAAACAACTTTCAGTCTGCCCTATAGTTTCTCTGTGCAGGAAGCATTCAACTGCCATCAGTACAAACAGTACGTGAGGTACCTGGTCAGATTAAGGAAAAGCCAGCTGTATTTTATCACCCCTTGCCAAATGTCACAAGAAGACAAGGCTACGGTTATTTAATGCTGTTTTAAAACACAAGAGCAGAGCAGAGAACCAGAATGCAGCTCAACCCTCCCACCCCGTCCCCCTGCGTTTTCAGCATACTCTTCACTTTGCTAGATTGAACTTCAAGCTCCCTCAACGCCACCCTTCTCCTTTGTGGTCACGTACAGTGGCTCAGCAGGTAGCATCACGAATAACTTCGATCACAAACATGATTTCTGTTGGTATTTGGCACAGCTGTAAGGCTCAAATAGTATTCTTTTTAGAACAATTATCACAGATACCACTGTTCTCACCAGGACTGTCTGTGCTTCCCTTATCGAACACGGTTGCATTCCAAATGGCCACAGTCTCCAAGGCAATAAGCAGACACAGAGAAGCCAGCCCATCTAATCTCTGCTCAGCCTTGACTTCAAGAAATGTGAACTAGGACTGACTCACTTTCACTTCATCCCAGTGGTCTTTATCCTCCTGCAGGACCCGGGCAGTGTGAAGAGGAGTTGCTGGCACTGTCATCGATCTCTGAGGAAAGGGAAAAGTTACCAAAATAAGTGTTCTGCAAAGTCACGTTTGAGAACTGACTGCTTGCTTTTCTGTACGTATGGAGGACATGGAAGTTTATGCAATGTCCTTCAGTGGCTTCAGTCACTCCACAAGCTAATTCCTGTGTGGGGTAGAACAGGACTACAGACCCCACACAACGGTGTCTCTAAGAACAAAAGGAGAAAGAAATCAGCACTGAGTTTGTCTCACTCCGCTCCCTTCCAGTCCAAACAATAACCCTGTGTTGGAGAAATTTTCACATACATTTTAGATTTTAACTGCCATTTCACTACTCATTAGTCGATGTTTTAAAGTGGTTAATTTGACCTTTATCTTCTAGGATTTGCCACAGGAGAAATTTTCCTGTACACGCACATTAAATGAGATTACCAATTTATCGGATCATAAGTGTGCCCCAAAGAGGAAATGATACTGGGGCACAGTTTAGAAGACAAGGCACTGCTTGAGATGCACTTCTACATAAAATTGAGATCTACGCTCACCTGCCATGAAAGATCAGCAGATACATTAAATTAGGATAAGGTACAATTTCTAAAGCACAAAGCACAGTTCCTTAGCTAAATTCAGCAAGAATCATAATATTTCTTGCCAGCCCATAACCCAAACGATAAATTCATATTCTATCTCCCTTATGCTTTCTACTCAAACCTGATGTCTACCGCAGTGGCGTCCTACACCAGACGCAGCCGCACGTCAACAACCTCTGAGGAGGTCCCCGTGGATGTCATTGCATTACAAGCTCTGGGAGCAGTGCTCCTACTCCTCTGAGCTAACAGCACCGCTGCAGCAGTGACAGAAGTGGAGGCACAAATGCACCCTCTGGCCAGGGTACAGCTTCAGCAAACAGAGAAATGGGAAACCAGCAGCCTGGATGTGGTGGTGTTCCTGAGCAGGCGTTGAAGGTGCTCTCCGTTCTGCTCCTTCTTGTTAAGTAAAGCTTTGCTACAAGCTAACCAGAGGATTATGTGCTCCACCTAAAGTGACAGTTATACACAGTCCACAATACTGCTTCTTCCATCCATCTAATGAAGAAAAAAGAGAAGAGACAAACCCCCCTCTTCTACTGCCTGTGCGAGGCATCTCCCCATACACGTCCCCACTAAAGGATTTAGGAAAAGAAAAGAAAGAGCACAGACATTTGCTATGGTGGACTTGCCTCTCCCTCCTCCTGCCTGATGGGAACAATGGGTTC